AGCCTCAGTTTCCTCACCTCCCAGGCAGTTAAGAGAGGTCATGGACATCAAATGCTGGTTACAGGGTAGGGCATACAATATACCTTTGGTAAATGGGGCTTGTTTGTTTGTATCCCTGTGAAAGGAACAGGCCTTCTTGGCAGCATCAGATGGGAACTTTGGGTCCAAGACCAGCAGCTGGCAGAGGACATAAGCCTGTGGTGGGGACAGAGATCTAGGCTGAGTAATCTATGGAAGGTAAGGGGTGAAGGGACACAGACACTTAGGGCACCTGCTTCAACTCACATCATTGATAAAACTGAAGCCTTGAAAGAGCTTCAGTCTCTCGGGGACATCTTGGAGCAAGAAGTGGGAACAGGCATCCTGGCCATCCACCAGGCATCTGGAAGGCTCAGGCTGAGACTCAGGTCAGCAGAACCCAGAAAACAGCCCTGAACTTGGGTCTGGTCCCAGCCCTTCTTCAGCACCACCACACACCATCATGTGTTGAGAATTCTGTGTGTCAGGCAGAGCTAAGCTTTGCTCCATTCAATCTACACAACAGTGCTGTGAAGATTCTGACACTATCCCCACTTCATGGAGGGGCTTCAGAGGTCAAGGGGCCAGTAAAGGGTTCTTGCTCCCTGACCTAGAGAGGACTCCCCCAACAAATCCCAGAGGGCACCATCTAGGCATCTTTCCATTCTGGCTCTGGGAAGGTTCTTAGCACCCTTTCCAGAGACACCACCCTTTGAATAGTCCCATCCTACCCTGCCCCCTTCCCTAGGTCCAGTACCCACGATGTCTGACAAGGTTGTAGCTCAAAGGGGCCACTTCCAGATCCTGGTTGGGGCTGGTGACACACTTGTCCACATATAGATGTAAGGGCTGATAGGAGCTACCAATCACAGAAAATTCCATATGGAGCTCAGAGCCCAGGAAAATGGTGCTGGTGTTGGCTGGGTCTGGGGCCTCTAGCACGGCTCCCTCCTGGGCTAGAAAAAAAACCAAATGGGGTTGACATGAGGCCAAAACACTAAAGGGCTTGTCCAAGGCCACACAGCAGAGACAAAAGCAGGCAAACCAGGGCCAGGTCACTTGAAGCCCAGTACCTTTCTGATCCTGCCACCTGGCCCTTCCTCTATTCCTGCTCTCACCAAAGGCGGTCTAGCTCAGAACAGGAGGCACAGGAGTCCCTGAGCCAGGGGCCTTTCCACTTGGGTTATTGACTCTGCTCAGCTGATGTTCACCACCTGTAGGAAGGAATGAACCAGGCCAAAGTCACACGCTGAAGTCCAGATGTCCAACCCCAGCCAGGAAGTCAGTACCTCAAGGAGGCCAGGGGCAAGGTGGGGACTTCTGGGCTAGTAGAGAAGCAAGTAGGGGCTAATCTAGAAAATCAACACAGAAGGCCCATGACAAGTCCCCCAGGGCAGCCCAGGCAGGCATGAGGACAGGAGAGAAGAAGCCAGGACAATTCAAGAACTCCAAATTCGGGCCAGCCGAGTGGCGCGATGGTTAAGAGCTGGCTTGGGACGCCAGAGGACCCCGGTTCGGATCTCACATATGAGGGCCAGTGACACTGCCCTCCACAGCTAAGATGCTGAACAACAGCTCAACCTGGAGCTGGGCTGCCGTGAGTCACCGGCGACGGTGTAGGCTGCAGCCCCTGTGGCAGTGGGTTGCCATGGGCTACTGTGTGTAGCCA